ATTTAATTTTTTTTTTTGAAAAATACAAATAAAAAATACAAAAAACAGTATGAACTATACATGAAATCAAAATCAAAGCCCAAAAGTTGAAATATTTTAACTTAAGAGGCCAAAAGTCGAATTAAAAGTCAAAATGGTCAATTACCATAACTTGGTCAATATCTGGCTGTTTTGAATTACAATTCGAATTCTCTTGATGAGATGTCTAGTCTAATTCATAAAATTCAGATCATTGATTAGTGAAATATTTTTATTATGAATATTAAAATACCATTATTTGAATCACTTTTATGAGACTATTCTAAGCCATGTTGGATCACTGATTCTCATGTGATATGACATAATTTCGACATTATAGTATGAATGTGTAAACAATTAATAATCAAATATAAGATTGTAGTCTTCGCCTCATATTTATCTGCCAACTCTTTAATTGAGCTTGATGTTTGGATATCTAAAAATATAACAAGATAGTATGTAGTAAAAAAACAATAAAATATAATCTAGCTATAACTCCAAGTATCAATTTTTGACTAAATTAAATCATCTTAAGAATAATAATAACAACAACATCAGTATGCAATTAATAATATCATGAAATAATGATTTAATAAACAATTAAATATAAAAATACGATCTTTATCACATATTTATTCACCAACTCCAAGTTATCATTCGGATTATAGTAATAAAAGAGTAAGATCAAAATAATTAATGGTTAATATTAAATATGAAAAATAATCTTAATGCAGTGCGTAATGTGATAAGCCATCGAATCTACCTAGCATACAAGTGGATCTTTCAATCGAAGGCGAATCTTTCCATTAGTAATATTATGTTGTATAGTGCACGCCACAATAACCCATCAAATAAAAATTGACCAACTTTAAAACCTAAAAAGAAAATATTGTGTGCTTATCAAAAAATTATTGAGACGATATTTGATAGCTTTTGACTAGTTCTACAATCTATAAGCTCATTAAAATCATGTAGTTTTTATGTCATATAAAATTTGAAACATGTAGTTTTGGCCTACCTTAAGTCACTCATAAAATAGATTTTTAATTCTGGTAAATCACGCGATATAATTCATCCCATAAAATTGAAAAAAAAAAAATTTCACGCGTTTTTTTTTTTTGTCAATAAATCTTGATAATAATAATTGCATTGAATTTATGAATATAAAATAATCCCATTCAATTTTTTTGTTTAAAGTTTCTCTTGAAGGTCCTTTGACTTGTTGTGCTAGACATATCTTAGCAACCCAAGATGATTTAAAAACCAAAACCCTTACTTCAAGAATTAATTGAAGAGGACACAAAGTCATCTTCTATCCAAAGTTTAACTACACTTAAATGTATTTGGGGACTGCTAAATGATATGTTAGACAACATTGTAATTACACATGGAAAGGTCTTCAAGAGAATGTCCCCAATGCTTTTGATCCTATATCATTGAAACAAAAATTAGAAAGTATGTGGTGAGAGAGCCTCAAGATTTATGGATTGTTACAGAAAAGGATTAACAGTACTACAGGCTGAATATATTGTAAAAAAAAGATAAGTCACATGGAAGGATTTCCAGATAATGTGATAGATGAAATAGATGAGTTAAGCTAATAATATTTTTATTCTTGATCGATATCTTTAATCGTGTCACGTTACTTCAAATTTTTTTGACATCAATTTTATAATAGAAAAAAAAAATCAATTTTTTGTGAATTTGAGTTATAGTGGCGTTCACCGTGCAATTATATTTATTACCACCACCATGTATTTCTTTGTCTATTTCGAAGAAAGTTAATATAGTTGTTCTTCACTTTCTAAAAAGTTCTCTAATAGAATTATCTAACTGTACCACATATTAATTAATATATTTAAAAGAAAAAATTGTTATTAATGTTTATATGTATAAGTTTTTTAAAAAAAAAAAATTCTCAAGTACTTTTGTACAACAATTGAGATCTGCCAATATTAATATTATTGATGAAATATTACATGTTTTATAATAATAATGAATAAAATAAATGTATTCTTTTCAGTATTTTTACACATTACGTACCTTATACGCGGAATCAAAACATACTAGAACTTGTCCAGTATTAGTATTAATATGTCACAAATTCCGTACTGATTCCGTATCAATTCTGTATTTCATACTAAATTTGAAAAGGGGTAATTTTTCAAAACCGTATAAGAAATACGTTAATTCCGTATATATATTTTTAAAAACGTATTTAACATACGTTAATTCCGTATTTTATTTTTCATAGGGCATGTAATCCAGAGAGTGTGGTATTGAGACTAAAATAGATAAAGTTTAAATTTCTTCAAAGGTATCTGCTTTCTTATAAATTGAATTCAGAAAAAGAACAATTAGCAATCTCTTGGATTTTGACAACACCAAGATTAGATGCTTTAAAAGAAATTGTTGATACTTTTGCAAACCATCTAATTTTTTAAAATAAATTTCAAAATAGATTTGATATCTAGATATTGAAAGCCTTTCCACCTTCATAGCATTTCGCCACATGTAAAGCTCCGAATGAGCCGAGCCGATCCGAGACCTCGAGCCGACTTGAGATTTAATATTATTTTTTTATAGTCAACGATTTTGCAAACCACTGAAAATAATTGAAGCTTGAATTTAGAACATTAAATCATCATCAAATAATTTTATGGCAGACTAAAAAATTCCAATATCTATTTCTAAATAAAAAATGATTTTAGGTTCTGGAATATATACATATATTTAAAATTCGTTACGTTTCAATGGATTTATGTTGTTAAAAATTTATAGTACGCAAATTTAATTATAATTCGTTGAAACGACTGTATAAAATTTTACAATGTTTGCTCAGATATTTGTAGAGAATTAAATGAAACATAACCTGTTCAAAAAAAATCTTTATTATTATTGAATTGAGCTAGTGTTCCTCCTATTCGTAATATCAGTTCTTATTCGAATTATTCTCATTTTGTTGTTTTGTTTGTTTATTCGAATTATTCGTTTTTTTAATTCGATTATTCGAATCACCCGGACCGTTCGTTTGTCAAATCATTCGAACCATTCGTTTCCTTCGTTTATTCGAACCATTTGAATCATTTGATAAGCCCTCGGATAATTCTAATCGCAGTGCAGTAATAAACTATAATAATTTGTATAACCTTTGAACATTTGAATCATCATAAATAATTTTATGACAGACTAAAAAATTCCGAAAATTTCAAATGAGAACAACGCTTTTTAGGTTCTGGAATATATGCAAAAGGAATTGCATTATACTAAAATTACTAATCACGGTTCGATGAATTTTATGTTTTTAAAAATTCACAGTAACACGAATTTAATTATAATTCGTTGAAACGACTGTATAAAATTTCACAGTGTTTGCTCAGATATTTGCAAGAATTAAAACGAAATGCAACTCGTTTAAAAAATCTTTATTATGAGCTAGAGTTTCCTATTCGTAATACAACCCAATTATTAGTTTTATTAGTTTATTTTATTCGTTTATTCATTTATTCGAATTATCCATTTTTATTTTATTCGAATTATTCGTTTGATTTTTGTATATTCGAATTACGACTGCCGCAAATAGTTGTAAATAATTATATTGCGAGGTAGCTTTTAGTTAATACCAATTATTTGTACGTTATATGATTGAATTTGGATTAACATTTGGCTACTCTCGTCGATTAACTGCAAAATTTTGGATTTACTGCCTGTCAATTAATGTGTTCTACGGATATATTCTATTTAACGCCTCTTTTTTATGCCCAGAAAGCTATAAACGTACGATTTGGTACAATTTTGGTTATAATAAATCCGTATGGCCCTTTTAGGAAGCGTTTCGGCTTCTCTAAAGTTCCTTATATATTTACCGTTTAAAATATTGATACTTTGATCTATTTACAAGGCATCTTATCAATTATTTTAACTGCCCAATTTACAATAAAATACAATAACGCGGGATAACAACCTTGGTTAATGAAGGTCAGCAATTGATATTCAGTCAATCTTAACGCCTATGTTTACACTTTTAAACAATTAAATCTCTTTCCAAAATAAAATAAAATAAACAAGAAAAACGTTTCACGTTTCACGGAAACCGAAAACCCAAACAAAAGTAATACAACCCGTTGTTAACACTAAACGGGTTAACCAAACATCAAAACTTTTATTTGCGACTCATTGTTGACGTTAAACGGGTTAACCAACATAAAAACCTTTGCTTCTTTATACCAAAGCAAACAAACAAAACCTCAGAGTTCTATACCACTCTGATAACTAAATGGACAATTAAACCCTAATAATGTTGCTTAATTTTCGAATACAAAGTGTTTTTATAAGCGAAACAAAGAATTTATTATTATTATGTGTGAAATTGATTTTACGATTGAGTTAAATTAACGATAATAGGCTCTGAAATATTGATTAATTAACCCGTTGTTAATACAACTTGTTGTTTATACAGCTCGTTATTTTTAAAACTTGGTCAAAAGTGATTTGATTTTTATAATACCAACAAACATATAATGAGTATTTAAATCAATCTACTTTATTTTTAAAAAAAAATAATTTCGCTATTATTAAAATTGTTTAAGCTAATTAATTTCGTACCATCACTCTTGCGAATAAATTAAATTTTTTTCTTTTAGTTCAGTAATTAATTCTAAGTGCTTATTTTTTTCATATAAACTGGTTTCCGAAAATCAAATGTCAAAGTTAATTCCGCACTTTTCTAAATCTTGGGTATTTGGAAATATGATCTGCAGGTAATGTGTTATTACCTAGTCAGTAAATAGTAAAATTAAATTGAGTCATGGGTCTCGTGTCATCGTGTGTTAAGCTAGCCAGTACTATATATAGTAAAAAAATTACTATAATACTAATGTGTATCGTAACACACGTCAAATTCATAAATCTAAAAAACTTTTTTATATAAAAGCAAACAAGATTTTCAATTTTTTTTTTAATTATAAAATTTACAAAATTAGATGAATAATCACCATAATAACAACAATGGTAGCAGCAATATTGATATTAAATCAAAGGAACGACTTGAAAAATATGTAAAAGAAAACTTTGTTTACATTGACTATAAAGTGTCTTCCTCGAATTTAATCGAGGATTCAAATTACGTTACATTGAAATTGTTTCCAACTTGGGACCAAAAAACTTTGGAATATGTTCAATGTAAAGATGGAATAACCAATAAACGTTAGTAGATTATTTTTTAATAATTAATTTTTTAATTTTAGAGATTTAAAAAAATTTTAAAAAAATTTTCAGTTGTTAAATGTTACAACAAATCTTTAAATATTTCACTATTGATTCGAGCATATGGTAACAAATCAGAAGTATTGATAGACAGAAATCAAGAGATTTTGGTATGACTTAATAGAGAGATTTTTTTTTAAATATTTTTGATATCAATTATCAATTAAAAATCATTGACCGATTATTAATTTGTTATTATATATTGATAGAACCTAGTAAGGTTATCTATGCTTGAGTTATCGCCTCCGCTTTATGGAAGATTTAGTAATGGATTTGTTTATGGGTACATTCCAGGTAAAGTATTTACTGTGGAGGATATGAGTGATCCATATAAGTCCACTTTGGTTGCCAAAAAATTAGCCCAATGGCATAGTGTTGATATGGTAGGAGATAAAACCGCAAATTTATTTCCTACTTTATATAAATGGTTAGGGGAAGGTAAAGATATTTTTTGAGATCTTTAGTATTGCATACAATTGATTGAATAAATTCATGAAATTTTTTTAACATATAATTTATTTTTATATTTAATATATTTGTAGTTCCAATTTCTTATTCCAATTCAGATATTAATAAAAAATTTCATGAAAATTTCAATATTAAGAAAATCAAATTAGAAGTAAATATAATAAATAATATTTTATATTTTATCAAAGAAAAGTATTAATTAATTTACAACATTTAGCTATTGGATTTGGAGAAGGAATTGATTAAACTTAACTCTCCTATAGTTTTTTGTCACAATGATTTGTTAAGTGCAAATATAATTTATGACGAGGCACTTAAAGAAGTATCATTTATTGATTATGAGTATGGAAACTACTCATATCGTGGATTTGATATAGGGAATCATTTTAATGAATTTGCTGGTAATAATATATATTATAATGATCGATTAGTTGGAGAATTGATTATTTGAAAGTTTTTTAATAATTATAACTCATCATCATCATTATCAATAATATTATTGTAGGTTTCGAATGCAATTATAGTATGTATCCATCAAAAGAATTTCAATGTCAATGGTTAAAAACTTATTTAACTGATTCTTACCCTGGTAAATATTTAGAAATTTGATATAAAAAAAATTGTTTTTTTGGGAGATTTTATATATAAAAAAAATAAAAATTTTTACAGATAAAGAAATTACAGATGAAATGATTGAAAATCTTTATAAAGAAGTTAATAAATTTGCATTGGCGTCACATTTCTACTGGGGGTTATGGGCGTTGGTAATTATTTAATAAATTTTATTTTAATTTATAAAAATCACTAATTATTAACTTCACTTTTCTTCTATTATTATTTAGATTCAAGCTCATTACTCTGATATAAATTTTGATTATATGGAATATTCCATGTTAAGATTTAATGAATATTATAAATGCAAAGAAGAATTCTTTGCTTTATAAATTGTTTATTTATTTATTTATTTATTTATTTATTTATTTATAAAAATATATGTTTAATTATTTAATTTAACCGCGCATTCTGATCAATATTTTTTTAAGATTGGATTTTTCCAATCTATCTAATAGAAAGTTTTTAAATCAATATAAATCAATCATTATTAATTATTAATATTAAACATATAAAGACGATATAATAATAATATCTGTTTCATTAACAAACAGGTTGTTTTAAATCAACTCGTCTTTTGATAATGAAATCTCTGATATTTTGTAATACTGAAGTATCGAATTTACTAAATTCATATCATTAAATAATTTAATCAATTAACTAATCAATATAATCGACCTCTGAAGAAAATTCCTTTAAAACATTTTTCAAACGTTCCCTCACCTGTGTTTCATGTTTCATATAAGATAGTTGACATAATCATGTCTTTTTCTATAAATATATAAAAATAAATCTAATGTATAAGGTTTTTTTGATACATTTAAACAACGATGAACTTAAAGCTGAGAACTGCATAATAATCTGAAAACGAGCACTAACCACATAATAATAATGTTTAAGAGATTACCCCTCGAGTCCAGTGTTAGCAATTGGACAATACTAATACACTAGGTATTTGATTGACTGACTGCGCTAATATACACTATACTGTTTTGGTAATCAAATATTAATATGGGAATTGATAATTTCCATCTTTGATTAGCACACACATCTTCGCGCACTGGATTTTCCAACGATTCTTTAAGTGGGACTAACCCTCGTAAAGATTGAATCCTTTTTTTCAATGAACAAAATAAAATTTAAAAACTAACACTAAACAATTACAATTATACATGCAGCCAAACTGTTATGACATGTATAACAATAATTCTATGCATACTAACATTTCACTTTTGATCTCTGATTAAAGACCACGAGACAATACGGTGTGAATTGTTCATTATAGGAGTTTCATAAAAACAAAAATTTTCTTAAATATGCAGAATATGCATTGCAAAAACCAGAAGGATTCATCAATATTCTTGAAGTTGATGTTTATGAAGAAATTGATGATGAAGCAAAAAGGCAATCATATCATTGGCGAACTTTCTAATCAATTAGAAGTTGTCAACCAGTTAAAATCTTGTGATATGTAGGCTATATTTAAATCATTGACTAGTCTTGTAGAACTTTCAGAGAAACACGAGATTTTAAAATGTCACTTAATAATAAAAAAAAAAAAAAAAACAAAAACCCTAACAATGTTGGTAATGAATATTTGTACGAATCATCAAAAAAACTTGTAAAAAGATTGAGAGCAACACACTTATCCATTAAAGTGGTTTTCCCATCTTGATCTCAATTTTTAAAAACATGGACAAAAAAATATTATCAAGATGAAAAAAATAATATAACAAAAGTTATATCATGGACCTTTTAAATTATAATATTGCAGATATTGAATCTTTATGGTAAAATTAGTTTATAACATCATGTCTTGGATTAGACTGTAAATGATTTTGATATTCATAATAACAGGGACAGCATAGAGTTTTTCTAAAAAGAACTGGAATAGAGAATGTGGCCCTTATAGATGTCCGGACAATTTTTTGTGTATAGAATGGACACAAAAAGCAAACCTCAATTGTATTAAATGATAATACAACAGTCTATTTTTTAGACAACTATTGACGATCAATAAATGGATTAACGAAATAATTGAGACAATAGATAATATTGAAATAATTATAAAGGAATATTTAAATGACAACGAAGATGAAGAAAAGATTATTCATATTCTGAACACCTTGAAAGCCCTTAAAAGAGCCAATAGAATTGATTCAAAGAAATGTTATTTAAATTCATGTGATGTTATAATACTCAAAGAGTTTTAATATTAACGATTGACATAAAACAAAGATTAGTATTTTAGTATTCACTTTATTATTATAATTAATAATTCATTGATTGACTTTTCGTCATAACTTGGCTATTAACTTTAATTCAAAACGATGTAATTAAATGTGAATATTTGCGTCTCCAATTAGATCATGACTATATGCTATGCAATTATTTTGAAAAGAAAATTTTTTAATATGTATGCTATGATTAACTTTGTATTAGTCGAATTCCATTATCCTTCCTCGTTGGTTTTCTCTGCTATTAAAGATCTACAAAGTTAAAAGAAATTAGTGAAATAAGATTATTTAATTATTTTAGGTTATTATGAGACATGCTTGTCAGCTCATTGTTATCAACTATAACGTACATATGGTTGTCTTTTAATATTATTTTTTTTGCTCTTGATTTTCTTTTTTTCTTTTACACTCACCTGCCAAAAGTATTGGCAATTTTGCAGATCGCCGGAAATAATTGAACAAAGTGAAATAAAAATAACTCTAAATTTTATTATCACAATCACTTTTGTGTATTAAGCGAAAATCAATTTTCATAATGATTCCCATAATATACTTGAGTTTTATAATGTTTTGTTTACAATTGATAATTTTATTAGCTTTAAAAGTCAAAGTAAAAAATTTTCAATTGATAACAAAACCTAATTGCCAAGTTTTAACATGTCTAGATAGCACAATAAAAAATGTGCATCATGCTTTGAATATATATACAATAAACTTATGTAATGATTCTTTATATGACTATTGAAATTTTAAATTAAACGTAAAATATTTATATCATTTTTTCATTCAATAATTAAACCCAATTGTCAAGTTTTAACACATCTTAACAGCATAATAAAAAATGTGCAGCATGTTTTGAAATATATATACTAATATATATATTGTAAAGAGCGGTCAAATATTTTATTGGGAAATAAAAAAAAATTAAAAATGTGAAATTTTTGGATTATCAATTTTAGTATATATAATTAATAATTAGTTGGATAGCCTTTAGATTTTTTTACAGCATCTATTCTCCTAGGCATACTATCAACTAAATTTGCCAATGTCTCTATGTCAATCTGGTACCATTCTTCTTCCAGGGCAGCAAAAAGATCATTTTTATTTCTAGGAATATTCTCACGTTTTCTAACTCTCCTTTCAAGCTCATCCCATAAATTTTCTATTGGATTTAAATCTGGACTCTGGGATGGCCAAGGAAGTGAAAGAACATCATTATCTTGTTTTAAAGCTCTGAACGAGCCGAGCCGGCTCGAGCTGAAGCTCGAAATTTCGAGTTCGAGCCGAGCTCGAGCTAAGAAATAATAGGCCCGAGACTTTCGAGTCGAGCTCGAGCCAAGCTCGAGTTTGACGTTACATAAATTTTTTAAGTAGCGAACATTAATCCTAATACTTTAACCCATTTAAGAGCCTGTTTTCTTGAATCCAGCTCGAACTTGAAAATTCAAGTTTTAACTCGAGTCTGCTCAACTTATTCAAAAAACACAATAAAACGAATAAACAGAACAAAACGAATAAAAACGAACAAAAGGAACAAAAGGAACAAAACGAATTAAACGAATAAAAACAAATAAAAACGAACAAAACGAACATAAGGAAAAAAATGAACAAAAGAATAAAACGAGTAAAAGCGAACAAAACGAACAAAACGGACAAAACGAATAAAACGAGTAAAAACGAACAAAACGAACAAACGGAAAAATGGACAAAACAAACAAAACGAATAAAACGAGTAAAAACGAACAAAACGAACAAAAGGAATAAAAACGAACAAAACAAACAAAACAAACAAAACGAACAAAACGAATAAAACGAATAAAAACGAACAAAAGGAACAAAACGAATAAAACAAATAAAAATGAATAAAAACTATTAAAATGAATAATAATAAAACAAACGGATAAAACGAGAATAAAATGGATATAAAACGAAGAATTTGTATTATGATAGGAACTCTAACCCAATTCAACAATTTTTAAACATTTTGCATTTCGTTTTAATTCTCCACAAATATCTGCGATGTATACAGTCAAACATTGTTTCAACGAATTATAATTAAATTCGCGTTACTATTACAACGAATTTATGAAATTCGAATTTCAAATGCAATTTTCTTATTATTATTATTATTATTATTATTATTATATAATGCATTAATTTTGCATTTAATTATTAATAAAAAAAAGATGCTTTATTATTATATGTTTGTTCCATTCATTAAAACGAGATTTTACTGACTGTATGCATAAATATGGTATCAATTTTCGAGCTAACACTTTTCTGTATGCGAGCTGGCCCGAACTCGAGCTGAGTATAAACTCGGCTCGGCTCGTTCGGAGCTTTAATTGCCAGTGCTAAACCATTGCTTACTCACTGAAGAAAAAAACATGGCTTTTTACTAAGGCTTCACAATTGGTGAACACTAGTATACTTGTTGCATTTGCCAAAGCATTTTAATTAAAATAATGCTTCTATTGTGGAGTTTTGTTTTATTAAATGAAGACCTGTAGTTGTCATTTCAACATCATAACATTTACTTTGCTTTTTTTTTGATCAAAAAATTGTGAATTACTGTTGCATACAGTATACATGGTATTACTATTATTATATTTATGTTATCAAAAAAAAAACATGGAGAAAAAAATTTTTTTCCTACAAATTAAAAATATTAGTACCATTACAATTTTTATTATTACATTTCATAAAATGAAAAAAATCTAATGCCTTTAAATTGTATTTAATGCCTAGTTTGAAATACTCATAGGCATGTCAATATTGGTATATAGAGTTGTATTAACTTGATTTTTTTCAATTTTTGACTTTGAAGTTAACTATGCATAATAGTAATACACAATGATATTAACAATAAAATAAACATGCTTGAGCTGTCTTTAGTGTCTGAGTTTGAAATGCATATATACTGGTCGATATTGTCAATGATAATTTTTTCATATTCACTGATAAAAAAAAATATTAGCAAAAATAGCAAATAATTGTTATTCAGATATTAATCAATAAATATTAACCTTTTACTGTCATTAACAAGTTGATTTTCTTGAAGAAGTTGTTCAACTGCCCTTTTTTCTCTCTTTGTTTCCTCAAATGCAGCCCCCGCAAATGAATATTGTGCACTTGAAATTTTAGCTTGATATAATTGAATCTATTCATTCAGATTCAAATATGAAATATTATTAAAGATAAATATGTATGCATTTATGTTTATATATGAATGTGTTTGTAACAATGACCTTTCTTAGAATTGCTTCTCTTTCCTTGAAATGTGTAACATCTTTTTTCAAAACTGCATTTATTTTTTCCAAGTTATTAAGTTCATCATTATCTGTATTTGATTCCTATAAAATGTATAAATATATATATTCAGCTAATCAAATAACATTATATTGAGAAAATGAAAGAATGAATATGAAAAAAAAATTTGAATTACTGATAACAAATTCTTTTGTTCACTAATTAAACGAATAAAAACAAATAAAAACGAACAAAACGAACATAAAGAAAAAAACGAACAAAAGAATAAAACGAGTAAAAACGAACAAAACGAACAAACGGACAAAATGGACAAAACAAACAAAACGAATAAAATGAGTAAAAACGAACAAAACGAACAAAACGAACAAAAACGAACAAAACGAACAAAATGAATAAAACGATAAAAGGAACAAAATGAATAAAACAAGTAAAAACGAATAAACTAATAAAAACTAATAAAATGAATAATAATAAAACAAACGGATAAAACGAGAATAAAATGGATATAAAACGAAGAATTTGTATTATGATAGGAACTCTAACCCAATTCAACAATTTTTAAACATTTTGCATTTCGTTTTAATTCTCCACAAATATCTGCGATGTATACAGTCAAACATTGTTTCAACGAATTATAATTAAATTCGCGTTACTATTACAACGAATTTATGAAATTCGAATTTCAAATGCAATTTTCTTATTATTATTATTATTATTATTATTATTATATAATGCATTAATTTTGCATTTAATTATTAATAAAAAAAAGATGCTTTATTATTATATGTTTGTTCCATTCATTAAAACGAGATTTTACTGACTGTATGCATAAATATGGTATCAATTTTCGAGCTAACACTTTTCTGTATGCGAGCTGGCCCGAACTCGAGCTGAGTATAAACTCGGCTCGGCTCGTTCGGAGCTTTAATTGCCAGTGCTAAACCATTGCTTACTCACTGAAGAAAAAAACATGGCTTTTTACTAAGGCTTCACAATTGGTGAACACTAGTATACTTGTTGCATTTGCCAAAGCATTTTAATTAAAATAATGCTTCTATTGTGGAGTTTTGTTTTATTAAATGAAGACCTGTAGTTGTCATTTCAACATCATAACATTTACTTTGCTTTTTTTTTGATCAAAAAATTGTGAATTACTGTTGCATACAGTATACATGGTATTACTATTATTATATTTATGTTATCAAAAAAAAAACATGGAGAAAAAAATTTTTTTCCTACAAATTAAAAATATTAGTACCATTACAATTTTTATTATTACATTTCATAAAATGAAAAAAATCTAATGCCTTTAAATTGTATTTAATGCCTAGTTTGAAATACTCATAGGCATGTCAATATTGGTATATAGAGTTGTATTAACTTGATTTTTTTCAATTTTTGACTTTGAAGTTAACTATGCATAATAGTAATACACAATGATATTAACAATAAAATAAACATGCTTGAGCTGTCTTTAGTGTCTGAGTTTGAAATGCATATATACTGGTCGATATTGTACATTAGACAGGGGTTAGGTACAGTGTTGTGACCAGAAACTCTTTTGGCTCCCCGAAACGTTTCAGAAAATGAACTTACACTAAGCAGAAAACTAAACCTAAACCTAAACATAAACAAAAACTACTAACCTAAACTAGTTTCGGGTGGTTTCTCTAAACTCAGAGTTTCGGGTCACAACACTGGTTAGGTACAGGCTTTTGTAAGTTTAAAATTTTGAAGTTTTAAAAAGTGCTAAAATCCTATCATGATAAATTAATCATTAGAGTTTGATGATGATGAATTTTTTTTGATGTTAAAGTTGTTCTTGCAATTGCTTTTTATTTAATTCATTATCAATTAATCCTGATAGAGCAAAATTTATAAGTAATCAAATAAACTATTTAACTGTCAAAAAATCCATTAATAAAATGTGACCAGAAAGAGTCTAATAAGAGAATTGTTTGTTACACACCATTCAATCAATTCTCCGCAAAAGGAAACAGTTAATATAAATCGTGGCTGGGCCTCGAATGATAATTTCTCAATACTTTGCTAATTCACTCAATAATTGTGTAGTTTTCCGCCAAAATTCATCCGCCAATTTGAATTCCCGTGAGAATATTCGACATCTGCCAAAATTAAAATATTCGAAATTAATATTCAATTAAAGAAATGACAACAAATCAATGTTCTTAGTACATTATGGCCTCGATAAGTCATAACAGATACATTTTGTGGATGTTCAAAATATATATCGCCCGGATATCTCATATGCCTGGATATTTTAATTTTGGCGGATGTCGAATATTCTCACGGGAATGCGAATTTTGGCGAAAAACCACACAATTATATTCACTCGTTAGTTTTCACCCTAATTTAATATTCCTTAAAATAAACTAGACCTTCCTGTTAAGAATAATTCCGAGTTCTTTTTAAAGTGAAATTCTAATTAATATTAATTTATTATTATTGGTTACATTTTTATTATTTTAATTATTGTAGATCATTTTCGATCTATATATAAAGAATTATTATTATAATTATAAATAAATGGAATTATTATTCGTTTTCTCCGCACTATTTAAATTTTAAGTTTTATAAAAACATTTATTTTTATATAATGTTGTTGTATTCTTATAAATTATTATTAACAGAAACGCCAGAAAGAGAAAATTTTGTATTTAAAATTTGTAATAAAATATTGTGCAATGCTTTTGTTAATCATGATGTAGAAAGTAGAAAAGATTATGTGTTTTCATTAGTTGAAAATAATGAGGAGCTTTCTGAAAATGAAAAAGATTATTGTATAAAAGTACTTAATTATATTCTTGAGTTTAATAATGCAATGTTTAAAGAAGGCAAACTAAAAGAATGCAACAAGTGTAAACTAACAATATACTCTGATAAATTCTGTGAAGGTTGTATTAATTTACAATTACAGAATCTTTTTACTAGTTGGACATCTGGAAATAAAATAATTGATAATTTTATTCAACAATGTCAAATGAAATCATCTTTGCCACACAATATTTTAGAATGGATACCTTTTGAACAATTTAAAAAAGTAACAAAGTTAACTGAAGGTGGATTTAGTTC